TTCCATAATATATAATGTCCTCCAGTCTGACTAGTGGGAAGAGGCACTATTCTGCGCCTTGTGTGGGTTCTAGTCATTTTTCTTTCTAATCCTTTTAGAGGTCGTTTCCTTAGTTGTTGTAGTTTCTTCTCATTGCAAGGTCAGCCCTCAGCTGAATACTCAGGGAGGACTCTGCAGATCTCTGGGGTTCTTCCTCAAGTACTTTATGGGTGAACTCCAGTGGCCTTGATCTTCCCACACTCAGCTCTGTCTCCTCAATTCAAGGGAATTTGCCAGTTAAAACAAGGGTTCCTCTTTTCTGAGTCATGGCCTGGAAAACCTCTCTCTATAAAGCTAGCTGGAGAGGTCACCTAATTTGTTCTCTGTTTCTCAGGGATCACTGTTCCTTGTTGTCTCAAATGTTTAATCTGGTTTACTTGGCTTCAGGTGGGAGAGTGAATCTGATCCCTGTTATTTTATTTTGGCTGGAAGCATTTTCTGGTTATTTAAAATTCCCCAATTCTAGATGTTTGATGTAGTCATGGAGCTACAGTTTTACCAAGGAGATGGCAAGTATGAAGTGTCCAAATCAAGAGCAGGATTTCTCTTGCGGTTCAGGACACATATAGTTAACACACATGTAGATTTGGTCTACTCAGCTATATTACAAATATCGCAATGACGAGAATTTTTTTCTTGCATTCTTCACTTATCTTTTCATCATCCCTAGACTGTACCCTGCAGAAACAGGATAAATGGTGGTAATTACTAATTTGCATTCTCCTTTCATAACCTAAGTCTCTTTCTTTTGCCTTAGCTAAGACAGCCTACCATCACAAATGCTCACTAACATACATGCCTTGCTCTGTAGATCTTGTAAAACTTCTCTAGCATCTTTAATAGGCAAAAATAAATTTACAAAATATCCCAAGTCTGGGTCCTTTTTAACCCATATGAAAAGAGAGGAGCTATCTCACATGCCTTTAATAATTCTTAACTGTTGATCTGAAAAATGTTGGCATGTAATGGCTGACTGCAAGAATTAAACATGGGTAAAAACATCCTGAGGGTTTTTTACAGAGCCAGTATTGGACACTGAGGCAGTATGGAGATTTAATGCAAATCATTGGATCAGGCATGGCTCAATTCCAATCCTGCTACCACAGACTGTGAGGCATTGGGTCAGATTCCCAACCTCACCCAGCTTTGATCTGATCATCTGTCAATGAGCGCAGAGACACCACTTTGCAGAACGCATTAATGTGAGACCCTGTTACCCAGTGGGAGGAGACATTTTGTAATGTGGAAACAGGCTCAGCTCTGCTATTCATTAGAAGTGGGGTTCATGGTCATTCACTTCAAGGTGAGGATCAGTTTCACCTTCAGAGTTGGGTGGAGATTCTATTGGATGATGCAGGTGAAAACCACTTGGTAAATTGCCTGCAATGAATATTCATTGATTAATCTTTAACTACTAACAACTACTTTGACAACCCATAAGACCTCTGTGGGGTTCTTGAAGCAAATTAAAACACTTGGGGGCCAGGGTGACAGTTGATATTTTAGTCTTTCTTCACCCAAGTATTCATTTCTTCCAAATCAATGGTGTGCTCTCCTCAGAACCAAAACACAGTTATTCAAGACTGTCAGGATGGAAACCTCAGTGTTCATCAGACCTAATTAATTTTTGCATTATTATTTTTTAAATATTTTATGTATTTTCAATACAAATTGATACAATAAAAACCACGCAAGCATAGAGCATTTTGCATTATTATTTCATCAGGTCTCACATTTTGGCATTAAGTAATGATATAAATCAACTCTAAAACAGCATGAAAACACCAATAAAGACAAATATTATCTTAACTTTCTCATATTGTTCTGTTATAATGTCTCCTATTAGAAGTGGTTAGAAG